ACCTGACTCACCTGGGCCCTGGGAAATGCCTGGAATATAAAAAATACACTGAGCAGCACCAGGTTTGCTACTGTGGCCCCACAGTAGATAACCAGAGCAGCTGGGGCTGCCCCTGCTAGTGTCCAAGGCCAGGTTGGACAGGGCTTGGAGCACCCTGGGACAGTGGAAGGTGTCCCTGCCAGCGGCACTGGATGGGCTTTAAGGTCCCTTCCCACCCAAACCATCCTGGGATTCCACGATTCCGTGACTGTGGCACGGGCAGCACTGAATGGTGAATCCCATCTTTCACGTCCCCACACTTTCTCCTGGTCTCCATTAACACAAGAGCCTCGGGAAGGTTTTGTTCAGATTACTGGGGAAGGTTTTAGGAAAATTCCTCTATGACATGCTGGAGAGAACTCTCCCCCCACCTTAATGCTGCAGACAATCCTCTTTTCCCTCTTGGGGGACTGGGGCTGGATTGACAGGAGCAGACATCCATCCTGTGGGTGCTTGCAGCTCCTGGGGCCTCTTTGTGTCAGGCTGCTTTAACAACAAACAGAGCACAGCCCCTGCAGCATCCCAGCCAGGGAGAGGGACCCAGCACAGCCACTCTGCCTGCCTGGATTACCCTGTGGATAAAACACAAATAAAACCATTTTCCCCATTTTTTTTTTTCATTTTAAGGTCCCCCATATTGACCAAATGTGAGTATGAGGCAGATTGACATCCAGATTTGACTTGGGAAACAGTTCAGCATTAATCTATTAAGCTAATGAACCGCAGTTATCCGGATTGGTTTGCCAAAATTAGACCCAGGAAATGGCTCCTTATTCAGTGGGCAAGAGAGCATAAAAAGATCTGCCCCTAAAATTTCCCAAAGCAGCTGATGATGTTGTCTAATTTCGATGGAATTCTTAACCTGACACATTTCAGAGAGACTGACTGTCAGGGAACTGACCCCTGGAAAAATCAGGATAATGGTATTGCTCACAGATTTTAAGATTTTCCTATGTAAGTGTTACATTATTCACATCCAGTCCAGGGTTAAGAGTGCCCAGACAAAATCTGCCACAATAAATTTATTATGTATTATTATTAAACAGGGTTGCCCAGCAAATAAATTCAGAAGATTTTCAAAGGCAGAGCTTTTAAGGCCAAAACTCAGAGATTTCTGTGGGATTTGGGATTGAGGGGGATGCCATTTCATTTAAAGGCAGCTGAGGCTCCTAACAGGTTCCTGATGCTGTGCAAAAGGAAGGAGGAGTGGCAGAATTATTGGAATTTCATTTGTGCACTGTCTGGGGAAGGCAATGTAATTTCTTGCCCCTTCTGCCTCCTTGGCTCTGTTGGAGGAGGCTCTTTGCTCCTGTTTCCTGAATTTCATTGATAAGGTCAAACAGGCAGGGTCAGCAGGGAGAAGGCACGAGGAACTCAGCCCTGCATGGAGAACTGAGTTGTATTTAATCATTATTATGATAATATAACATTTATAGTGCAGTGGAGGTGCGGGGCTACTAACAGAGCCATGCAGAGCACCAAAAATTCATCAAGGTCAGTATTTCACCTCCAGCAGCCCCATATGGCTGCCACCAGAGAAAAGATGAAACCATGAGGAAAATACATTTGTCCAGGATATTCCCCAAACCTCCAAGCCATTTGTGTGTCAAAGATCCCTCAGGCTGGGGGATGCTGCAGTGTTCCTCACCACTAGGTATATTTTATTTTTATTTTTAATTTTCTATTCTTATTTTTATTTTTGATTTTTGATTTTTTTATTTTTTATCTTTATTTTTATTTTATTTTAATTTTTTTTTGGTTTATTTTTATCTTTATTTTAATTTTAAATTTATTTTAATTTTAATTTTAATTTTAATTTTAATTAATTTTTATTTTTATTCCTATTGCTATTCCTATTCCTATACCCTTTCCTATTCCTGCCATATTTCCCTGCCTCATTCCAGAAGGAAGGGAAGGAGTGAAATAGCAGAGGTGCTCCTTGACTCCTTCTCCCCTTGGCCTGGCCTTCCTCATCTTTTCCATATCCCTTTCCCTGGGATATTTATGCAGAAGGGAATGATGCTCTGAGCATTTGTGACTCTCTTGGCCACAGATCAGTCTCAAAACTGACTGTGAAATGTTCTTAATTTGGGAAGATGAGCAGGAAGGTGCAATGTGTCTTTAAAAACCTCCTTGCCCAGGGAGACCTGGGTCCAGCACATCACCCAAGAGCCAGAGAAATTTGATAGATGAGTCTCCAACATTCCTGTCATGTCTCCCCTTCTGATTCTGCCCCCTTCCCCAGGCTGGAAGTGCTGAGAGGCGTGCTGTGAGGTCTGCCTTGTGTCCAGGAGCCTGTCAGAGCTGGGACATGCAGCCCATGGCCTGCAGCTGGACTCACAGCAGCCTCCATCAAGCTCTCATCCAAACAATGCCCTGGGCTTCGGCACTCCTTTGTTTTGAGAGTCACAGTTATTTGTATCAGCAAAGCATGCAGAGAGTGTCCCAAAGCAGGAGGGAGGGGGGAGAGAAACAGGGAGGGGGGGGGGCAGAGAGTTTGTGCCTGATGGGATCACGCCCGCAGAAACAGGGAGATGCATTATTTGGGTTTGATATTAAACAGAGCATCAGTGTTTTTTGGGAGAACCCCAAGTGCCATGGCTGTGACGGGGACATGAGCTGGTGCAGGCAGAGCAGAGGCAGAGCTGGTGCCGGCAGACCCTGTTTGGGTTTGATATTAAACAGAGCATCAGCGTTTTTGGGGAGAAGCCCAAATTCCATGGCTGTGAGGGGACATGAGCTGGTGCAGGAAGACCAGAGTCGTCCCTGTGAGGATCCAGCTCCCCCTTGGGAGCTTCACAGACAGAGGGGAGCAATGGGAACAGCAATAATGGGGTTTGAAATTGCTGCTGAATTCGCACGGGGTCTGCAGATTGTGTGACAGAGAAAATCCCCCAGCCGGGGTTCTGGGAGAGCAGGGAATATGAAATCGTTTTCTCCAGCAGATTCTACACAGGAATGACCTGGGGACATGAGAGACAGTGATAAGTGACTCTCTCCATCCCCTTTTATCCTGTTTACAATACAGAGGCTTTCCTTGAACAAACCCCTTTTTTTCCTCTCCGTGCTCCTGGCTGTTGTGTCTAAATGAGCCAATTTGCTGAAGAACTCCTCCTGGAAGGACTTGAAGTCTAACAAGAACAGACGCTGGGTTGCAGCATGTTGTTTCTGGCAAAAATCAATTTCTTGACAAAAGAACAGAAATCTGTTCTTGTATTTCAGTGCTTGCCATTTCATCAGGGCTCCTGTGATACCTCTCCAGCCTTGGCCAGGAGGGAATCCCAGAGTCTATTTCCATTCAACCAATTTCCAGAAGTGTTTGAAAATGGGGTCTAATAGCTCAGGGAAGGGGGAGTGGATGTGTTTGTTGCTGCTGCAGTTAATGGTTTTGTTGATATGCTGTTTATCCTTGGGCTGATGTGATTTCTGGGGCTTGAGCTGCTGTTTGACATCCAGGGGATAATCTCTTGCCAGAGGCTGGCTGGCTGCACGGCAGGGCAGGGCAGACTGAGCTTGATGCATCATCTGAGACACGAGAGATGGACCCACAGGGACAGAATCTCTCATTAATTAAAGATGTGTTGTTGTTTCCCTCTTTTCTGGCGGTGTGGTGCTCAGGGATGTGTTCTCCTGTGACAAGGCTGCATTCTGCAGGTGCTCACCCTGAACTGCAAATGAGCAACAACAGAAACAAGCCAACATTTTGGAGGCTGCGCCAGCCCCCAGGTTTCCCAATTTGCCCAGTCTCACATCAGGAGGTGTCTGCCTTCAGCTTCCCCACCTCTGAAAATATTTTCTCACTTTTCCTCCAACGTTTGTCATCTTTCAGTAGCTTGAATTTTTGCTGTACGGTTATTTTGGTTTTGCCTAAGTCAAGTGCAGTACAAGGCTGAGGGTGCTGAAGGAAGTTTAGGATTTAAATCAGTGTATTTTACTCAATAGTATTTGAGGATTTTATCTGGATGGACCAAGTTTAGGACATTATTATTGCTGATAAAGCAGGTTTCCCTTCACATCACAGGTGGGACACCCAGAAAAGGGCTCAGCATTGGGGGGCATTCAAAGCCTGAGGAACAAGTATAAAATGACAATATTTAATAGGAGGAAATAGTGGAGAAGGAGAGAGCTGAGTGCTTGTCTGGACCATGAGGACAGAGGCTACAGACTTTTCAATTATTGATCTTGTGGTATAGAGTTGAACACTTTACAGAACACAAGCCTTTCCCAATTTTTCCCAATCAAGCTTTTATTAGCGTGAAATTACACTTGTAGACAAGAACTATTTTCCATTAAACCACAGTGACAAGACAGAGTTATAGACCTAATTTCAGCCTTTTAATCAATCAGAGTTTCTACCTGTACCTGTGCCCCGCCCGGTCTCTCCCTGTCCCTCACCGCCCCTCACGATCCCGCCCGGTCCCTCACGCCCCTCACGCCATTCCCGGTCCCTTTCGGTCCCTCCCGGTCCCTCACGCCCCTCACGCCATTCCCGGTCCCTTTCGGTCCCTCCCGGTCCCTCACGCACTTCATGGCCCCTCACAGCCCCGCCCGGTTCCTCCCGGTCCCTCACGCCCCTCACGGCTCCACCCGGTCCCTCACGGCCCCGCCCTGCCCCTCACCGTCCCTCCCGGTCCCTCACGCCCCGCCCGGTCCCTCCCACCCCTCACGGCCCCGCTCGGTCCCGCCCAGTCCCTCACAGTCCCTCACAGTCGCTCACGGTCCCTCCCGCCCGGTCCCTCCCGCCCCTCACGGCCCCGCCCAGTCCCTCACGGCCCCGCCTGGCCCTGCCCGCTCCCTCCCTGTCCCTCCCACCCCTCCCGGCCCCGCCCTGCGAGCGCCACGCCGGTCCTGCAGCGCCTCCTGGCGGCCCTGCGTGGCGCTGCAGGGGCGGGAGGGCGGCCCGGGAGGAGGCGGAAGTGGAAACGGAAGCAGCGGGAGGTGGCGGGGCCGGAAGTGGCGGGAGGTGACGTGTGCGGAGCGGAGCCGGTGCGGGATGGAGGGGCTGTACCAGCAAACCAACAAGTGAGTGAGGGACTGACGGGTGTGAGGGACTGTGCCAGAAAACCAACAAGTGCATTAGGGACCGGGGGGTGTGTGAGGGCTGTACTAGCGAACCAACAAGTGAGTGCGGGACTGGGGGTGTGAGGGGCTGTGGCAGCAAACCAACAAATGCATGAGGGGCTCGGCGAGTGTATGAGAGCTCGGGGGGTGTGTGAGGGATTGAGGGAGGTGTGTGAGGGGCTGTACCGGCAAATTAACAAGTGCATGAGGGACTGAGGGATGTGTGTGAGGGATTGAGGGATGCGTGAGGGATTGAGGGGTGTGTGAAGGCTGTACCAGCAAATTAACAAGTGTGTGAGAGATTGAGGGATGTGTGAGGGGCTGTACCAGCAAACTAACAATTGAGTGAGGGACTGAGAGGGGTGTGAGGGCTCTGGGGGTGTGGGAGGGATTGAGGGGGGTGTGAGGGGCTGTACCGGCAAACCAACAAGTGCATGGTGTACTGAGGGGGATATGAGAGATTGAGGGATGTGCGAGGGCTCTTCCAGCAACCGGACAAGTGTGTGGGGGACTGGGGTTTGCGTGAGGGGCTGTACCGGCAAACCAAAGGGTGTGTGAGGGACTGAGGGGTGTGTGAGGGCTGTACCGGCAAACCAGCAAGTGAGTGAGGGATTGAGGAGGGTGTGAGGGCTGTGCCAGGAAACCAACAAGTGAATGAGGGACTGAGGGATGTGTGTGAGGGATTGAGGGGGTGTGTGGCGGCTCGGGGGATATGTGAGGGATTGAGGGGTGCATTAGGAATTGAGAGGGGTGCATTAGGAATTGAGAGGGGTGTGAGGGCTCGGGGACTCTGTGTGAGGGATTGAGGGATGCAGGAGGGATCGAGAGGGGTGTGAGGGGTCGAGAGGGGTGCGTGAGGGATTGAGGGGGGTGTGAGGGGCTGTACGAGCAAACCAACAAGTGCGTGAGGGATTGCAGGGTGTGTGACAGATTGAGGGGTGTGAGGGATTGAGAGAAGGATGTGAGGGAATGAGGGCTGTGTGAGGGATTGAGGGGTCTGAGGGACTGAGTTGCGTGAGGGCTGTCCCGTCAAACCAGCATTTGTCTGGAGGATCGGGGGCAGACCCACAAACCAAGTGTATGAGGCGCCGGGCCGGGTGTGCGGGATCCCACACTGACACCCCACAGATCTCAGCGCCCTTAAAAAGCATTTCCCCATAAAAAAACCCATCCCGGCGGGGGCAGAACCGTGTGTGCCACGTCAGCCCCGCGGGCTCTGCCAGCCCGGGGCACCGGGAGCGGGGATTGCCGCCCATCGCTGCCGGTTTATTTAAAGCACGCTTGTATATAAGAAATTCTCAGCAGGGTTTGAGGGGCTGCAGCTGTTTAAACCATCTCTGGAGGTGTGGGGCTGCTTGAGGGTAAATCCCACATTTCACATGTGGGTCTGGAGAGGGAGGAGTTGTGTGGGAATTGCAAAATAAGGCAAAAAAATCTCGTGGTTCTGTTGGTAATACTTGTGGAGTAACTCACAGGAAAGGGGCCAAAGGGCGCAGTTAAGCCAGTGTTCCAAATTTCTGTGGCAATTTGCATTTTGTGGGACTCTGTTAAGGGAGGTGGGATGGTAAGAGACTTGAATTGTGTTGAATCCTCATTTCTCTGTCACTGAATAATGATGCAGAGTGACCCTGCAGGGAAGAGCAGGACATCCTGCTGGAGATCTGGAAATGCAGGAATGTCACAGCAGCTGTTATGGATATGGGCATTGGTGGTGTCCTGTTCCCATTTCTGTACTGCCTCATTTTGTGATCATTGATTGGTTCAGGTTGGAAGTGACCTTAAAGCCCATCTAGTTCCAGAATAATTTAACAACCATCAATTTTTTTTTGTTTTGTTTTCCTATGCCACTGCTTGTCCAGCCATAATATCTTTTTCTTATAATTACAAGCTCTTAATTTCAGTTGATGCCTGTGAATTCACATGCTGTGAGACCATGAAAATCATTCCCACTGTCACCTCCAAATCAAGCTGGACAGCTGTTTCTTGTGTTTTTCATAACCTTCACCTTGATTTCTGTTTTTTAATAAAGTTACTTTGTAGGTGCATATGAGGTGAGAGCACAGCTTGCTTCCTGCTGAGGACCTGGGTTGGTGGTCAGGGCTGGGCTGTCTGCTCTGACACTGTGCTGCTGATTCCAGTGCTCTTCTGAAAAGTGCATTTCAGTAAAAGAAGCTGAAAAGTGAGGTGCTAAGAAATAATTTTGTGTTTGTTAGCTGACTTTTCTGTTCATTTTCTCTTTGTGTCCTGACAGGCAGGTCCATGAGGTCCAGTCTTACATGGGGCACCTGGAGACTTCAGACAAAGAGTCAGTGCACTGTAAGTAATGAGTGAGGTTGATTTAATTTGCATTTTTAACCTTGTGTGCCTTCTCATTAAATTTACAGTTATTATTGGAACAAATTTAGCTCCTGAGCCACTGTGATCAGCTGCTGAGACACATCACCAATTCAGAAATCATTGAAATCATGTTGCTGTTTAACTTCAGTAAGGTGATATTTTGTATGAGGACAGAGCAGAAAAGACAGGACAAGAATTTGCTCCATCTTCCTGTTATAATCCTTTAACTGACAGAATGCTTGCTGTGGGTGCTGCTTTAATCTTGTGGTAGAATGCTGTCGCTGAACGACACGAAAGAACACAAGTACACCACCGCTCTCAAGGTGAAGGGAAAAAAAGGGCAGTTTTATTCTCTGACTCCAATATTTATAGTTTTACAAAAGTGACAGCGGTTTGGAAGGTGACAGTGACACCTCTGCAATGACACAGGTCAAGCCAACAGTCCATCAACTCTCTCCTCCTCCATAAAGGAATGAAAAACAATGAGTTATTTACAGAAAGTGTTTGAGAAAGTTCACTACAAGAATGTCAACATCAGAAGGCTTAGAAAATCTTAAAAAACCAGGGTGACAGAATGCCACATTTTAGACGCTGTTAGATTTTGGAGCTCATGGTCAGGGTGTCTGTGCAGCCTTCAGAATAAACAGATCAAAACCCCCACACTGATGCTCTCATGGAGGTTTTTGAACACCTGGAGTTCTTGGTGTGGACAGAGCTGCAGACTGAGAGCATCTCTGGGCTGGTTTGTCAGAAAGCTGAGCTGTGACTGAGCCTGCCCTGCTGTGCTGTCATTCCCTCAGCATCCACCACCTGGCAGCTTTCCCCTAAAGGTGCTCAGTGCAGTTTTGGGGAAGATGCTGTGATTTTGTGTGCAGGATGCTCCATCAGAGTCAGAACCTGTGGCTCCACCTTATGAGAGCTGTGTAGGACCATTGGGTCTGAAATTGCCTCAGTAAATTGGACTATAACCCTGTGCTCATAAATGACTGTAATCATGAGATGCTCTGATATGTGTGGCAGGACTTTTTACCCCAGTGCACAACTGGCACATGAATTTTGGACCTGTGTTTGAACTCTTAATTCCTGCATGAGTCATTAGTGATGGATTCATCAGAACTTCTGAGGTGAAAGGACACTGCAGGGGCTGGATGCATTTCTGCACATGTTCACTGATTCTCTTACCTTGAACACATCTGTGAAACATGACTGGGCTCTAGGAAGGGCTGTGATAAATTTTCTGTCAAAAAATAGCAGTTACTAATAGAATTAGTAATTATATTTATAATATATATCTTCTTCATCTTCTTCTTCATATTATTGTTATTATTGTATTATACATTATACATTATAATACTGTATATCATATAATGATATATAATATAATGTAATGTAATATAATGTAATGATGTGATGTAATATAGTACAATATAATATAATTTATATTATATTATATTATTTATTATATTTATAGTATTTTATTCCAAAAAATAGAATTACTAATTCTGGTTTTTGTGGTGTTTGTACTACTCTTTCTGCAATGCCAGACTTCCCAGACTTCTGTTCACTGGGGGTGATTTTAAAAATCCTGAAAATTAGTATAATTTGCCATTTTGTTTCTTTTACTTGAGGCCATTTCAAGAGGTACGAGTATGTAGTTTACAGTCAGTTCACCAGTTTACATTGTTAATAAATGAATAAATATATTTATCTATTTCTCTCTGTATAAAGTTAGTAGTGTGTATTTCAGAATTTATGGAGAACAGGATTATCCATGGTTGAAGAGCAGGAATAGGGAGCAGGAAATCAAACTTTCCAACTTTGAGCACAAATAGTCCCTTCCTGCTCAGAAAAATGTGCAGTAGTGTAGTTTGGTCTGACAAACCAGAGTCTGTCAGCTCTCCTGTGTTGAATTCAGCTGCAGTAAATGAAAGTGGAGGTGGATTAGCACAATTTCATTGATTTGTCTCAGGATGTGAGTCAGTCACTCCCTGGCTGTGTGAGATGCAAAGATGGGGTTGTTTGTGCTCTTTGCTTCTCTGGGTGCTGCTGAGAGTGGTTTTCTGGGCACTCCTGCTGTGTGGAGTACTTGGCAGGTGGTTGATGATGCTTCTCTGTGTTCTTGTGGCAGCAAATCCTGCTGAGGGAGCAGGAAGGGGCTGCAGGGGGAATGTGTGGGCTTGAAATCCTAATTCTGATGGGGAAAGAGGCTCAGATGGCTGGAACAAGCAGGGGCTTTCCTAGCTGCCTTCTGAGAGGAGGAGGGAAAGGTGAGAGTGTCAAATTACTGAGCTAAAAAAGTGACATTTCATTGTATTTATAGTTCTCAGTCACTTGATTATTTTCATCCATACATAATTTCATTTTAATTTTGAATCTATCAGTTTTTACATATTACTTTGAATGCTTTTGAGCATTTGCCTTTATCAGATTGCAGTTGTCTAATTCAAGTCAAATCCTGTTTTTATTTCCTTGCAGTGGTAGAAAATGAGATTCAGGCAAGAATAGACAACATATTCAGCAACTTGGAACGTCTGGAAATCCTGTCCAGCAAAGAACCTCCCAACAAGAGGCAGAGTGCCAAACTGTGAGTTCACTGCTTTGCTGTGATTGTGCAGAGTAGTCTTTGTAATTATTTTAATTAAATTTACCGAAGCCCTTTGCTTTTGATTTGTGTGAAGTCTTTTATACCTTGCATAACTCATCTCTGTGCTCTGCAGTAGAAAAATTGAGGCACAGAGGAAAAATCACTTTCCTGCATTTAACCCCAGCATCATGAGAATCATTAAAGCTGGAAAAGCCCTCAAAGATCATAAAGTCCAGGTGATGCAGCTGGATTCATGGCTCTGTTCTCAGATGAGCAGAATATGCACTCTGTCCCTTGCTTTTAATGGCATTTTGGAGCTAGAGAGTCAAATTCCTTCATTTAGTGCCATTTTCCAAGCTGTTGGTGACTGAAATAAAGAGATTTCTAAAGTGAGCAATGGTTTGAGCAGGAGGTTGGACCACAGACATCAGGACTTGCTGCTCTTAATTAATTCTATGACTCAGTTATTAATGTTCAGTCCAAAAAGGTCCTTATAGATAGTAAGGGTGGATTTCATGTCACCTGTATCAAAGAAAGGGGCCAGTATCTGAAATAGTCATGGATTTCTTTATAGAATCCTGGAATGGTTTGGGTTGGAAGGGGCCTTAAAGATAATTTCCAACCCCTGCCATGGGCAAGAACACCTTCCACTAGACCAGGATAGTCTGGTGATCATTAAAATTTACCAATCAAACATTAAATTTTATCAATCATTTAATCAGGACCAGTGGAGTTCTGGACATGATTTGTTTCAGCCCAGTGGAGATGTCTGAGGTATCTCCTGTATTACCCACTGACTTTGGAGCTCCTTTTAACAAAACCTCAAACTTCAGAACATGATGCTAATTAAGGAAACTGGAAAGCATCATCTTTTATATGAAAGGGGAGGGTCATAAAATAGAACCTGTACAAATCCTACCATCTTCCCAAATCTGTGTTAAATGAGAAATGGATACAGTTCTATAACACCCGAAGAGACAATCCCTGGGATAGGATGTCCAAGACAACTCAGGAGTTCTGTTTCACATTCTGTCATTAGCCTGGAGCCTAAATAATTGATTAAAATGAATAATCACCTGTGCAGTAATCACCTATGTAGTAGAAAAATGAGACAGGGAGGATGTAGGTGTGGAATTTCAGCCTCGCATTGGATGTCCTGCATCTTGTAGAGAAGCAGAACCCATCATTCCTTGTTATTCATTGCTGTTAATTTACAATGCTCCTTTCCTGGTACAAAAAGCACCAGAAAAGCAGAATCTTCAGAAAAGCAGATTGGCAGCTGGGGGCTATGTACAAATCACAAAACAGGGAGGAACTGCTGTGGAATGTGCTTTGAGCTGTTTGATTTTCCAGCATCAGTCTCATTACATGGTTATGACAATGGGAAGATGCCAGCAGCTCACATCAGACGAAGAACTTAATGTTACAACTTATTTTAAAAGTTCTTTGACCACACAAAGTAAAAGCACATTGACAGTAGCTCTGTCCAACCGCTATAGGCACACATACCTGTGGTTAAAACAATGCCTGCTCATTTAGAATACAATACCTGTGTGTAAGCCTTAAAACACAATGAACAGAGCTCCATTATTAAGCTTAAAACTTCCTAATATCTCACTAGACATCTGTAGCTTAGGGAGTTATTCTAGCCAAGCATTAATACACAGACCATTGTTCTGTTTGTACTTACTTTTCTACTTCTTACACAGTTTTTCAGCTGACCAATCTCATGGCTACTGCTTAGCTCTAATCACATTCTGCTGTATCTGAGGCCTGCCTCTTGCAGCTTTCCCAAAACCCTCTGATTTTCTGTTTTTGTGCTGCTGCTCCTTTGCAGGCGAGTGGACCAGCTGAAATACGACGTGCAGCACCTGCAGACAGCCCTGAGGAACTTCCAGCACCGCCGGTACCTGCGGGAGCAGCAGGAGAGGCAGCGGGAGGAGCTGCTGGCCCGCACCTTCACCACCAACGTAAATATCCCTGCTGGGGCTCTCGGTGCTCCAGCAGCTCAAATCCAGCAGGGGGAGGCAGGGAGATTGTAAACAGGATTGTTGGGAGCTGCTGGGAGTGTGAGTAAAGGCAGAGAGGAATCAAAATATGTGGGGAGCTCTTGTGAGCAAAAGCTGGGCTCTTAAGGTAACAGGAAAAGGCTCCAGAAGCTGCTGTTCCTCTTTTATCCAGTGCAATCCACCTGCAGTTGTAAAAGGGTCAGTGAGGTAGGTACCAAAGTGTACAGGATTTGTGTCAAATGTTTGCCAGATCCTGAGATCTGTGAAAAGCCTCCCTCCAGCAGGGGGGAGGCAAGGAGATTGTAAACAGGAATGCTGGAGACTGCTGGGAGTGTGGGTAAAGGCAGAGAGGAATCAAAATATGTGGGGAGCTCTTGTGAGGAAAAGCTGGGCTCATAAGGTAAAAGAAAAATGCTCCAGAAGCTGCTGCTCCTGTTTTATCCAGTGCAGTTCCACCTGGATTTACATAGAAATTGTAGAAAAGCTGGGCTCTTAAGGTAACAGGAAAAGGCTCCAGAAGTTGCTGCTCCTGTTTTATCCAGTGCAATCCACCTGCAGTTGTAAAAGGGTCAGTGAGGTAGGTACCAAAGTGTGCATTTCACTTGGATTTGTGTCAGATGTCTGCCAGATCCTGAGATCTGTGAAAAGCCTCCCTCCAGCAGGGGGGAGGCAGGGAGTGTGTAAACAGGAATGCTGGAGACTGCTGGGAGTGTGAGTAAAGGAGGAGAGGAATCAAAATATGTGGGGAGCTCTCTGAGGAAAAGCAGGGCTCTTAAGGTAACAGGAAAAAGCTCCAGAAGCTGCCACTCATGTTTTATTCAGTGCAGTTCCACCTGGATTTACACAGCAGTTGTAAAAGGGTCAGTGAGGTAGGTACTAAACTGTACATTTCACTTGGATTTGTGTCAAATGTTTGCCAGATACTAAAATCTGTGAAAAGCCTGGGTGTTACACACCCTGCTGGCAGCAGATGTCAGCAAACTTCAGTGTAGCCAAACACAAATCACACAGCTGGGACAAAGCACTTTTTGCCTAGAAATGAGTAAAAAGTTGGAAATAACATCAATCTGGTCCAGCTGTTATTGTTAGTTCCTCCTTTGGGAAGTCCCCCCAGTGCAAATTGCTGGGGGAATTTTGCTCTCAGTAATGTAGGCTTGCTTTCAGATTTCACTTTTCTGCAACTGAAAAGTTAGTCTTGGGTTTTATTGTTTTTTTTAAATTTTGTTTATTTGTTTTTGTCAAGTTTTTGTTTTGTTTTGATTTGTTTTTTGTTTTTTAATGCTATTTTTACATTTTTGTTTGATTTCCCTCTTTATTTCCCTTCTTTGTTAAAGGCATCTCACCTAATATTTTGTCAATCATTGTCAGGACAAGAGAGAAAGAATATGAGCAATCCTAATTAACTGAGATTTGGGCAGTTTCATGCATTTCTCAAAGCCTGCCATAAAGATAATGTCTGGTATTTTGTTGGCTATTTCAAAATTGTAAACAAGGCTTGAAGGAAACACTGCAATTTGTGTTTTTAAACATTGTGGTGTTTCTCTGCAAGTAGGGACAAGTTTTCCTACAGGAAAATTTGCTGTTCAGAAACAACAGGCTTGCAGATGCAAAATATAGAGCAGATGAGTTATTTTCTCCTTCAGATATTGAAAGGTATAGTAGATGAAAAAAAATACACAATTACTTTGTATTTCTTTTTAGTTTGCTACAAAAATACGGCTTTAAAATGATCCTTTAATAGGAAAATGACGTTTATTTGTCAGTTATCAGCCTCTCTTGGTTACATTTTTCCACAGTTCCTATTCATATACTCAGCTGAGTTTGTGAGTAAATCACTGGAAAATCCAGAAAACCTTTTGGAACACAGCTGTAGCAGTGTTCTGAACAGTTTGCTTAATTCAAGAGTTAAGAATTGTATTTATCTTTAAAGCCTTTCCTTGTACCTGGAGAAAATCACAAGCAGCAAAACAGAGCTTTGGTGCCATTCCATGCCTTTGTGGGGTGTCACAAATCTACTTCTCTATTTTTATTGCTGCCTTATAGTGGATTAAAAAACCTTGTACAAGAAATGAAATCTGCTGGTTTGAAGGTTGTTAAATATCTGGAATAAGAGCCAGTCACATGGAAATTTGTGACAATTCACATGACTGTGAATCTGCCATTGGCTGGTCCTTGCCCCTCAGGATGGAGTAGTGTCCAGAAACAACCACCTGGAGGCCTTTGGCAGACAGGGATGATCTCATCCTGTCCAGATTAGAGTTTTACCCTGTCATTTCCATTTCAAGATTTCCAGTTCCTACATGAGTGAATGCATCTTTTCTGGAAAAAACCCATGAAAAATACTAATTTTTAATATATTTTTTTAAATAGGGCTCTGGTTGATGAGTAAGCCAGAGCTCAGGGAACCAGGCCCATGTCTGTTTGCCCTCACTGCCAGAAATTTGTTTAGAATGTCATCTCCAAACATTTTTTTCATTTTTGTTGCTCAGAAATGTGGTGTGAAATCTTTCACAAGTCTTTCACCTTTCCTACTGAGATTATAAAAATTCTCTGCTTTTGCTCTTTTCATCCTTGACATCTCATTACAGTTGAGCAGCTGCTCAGCTTTGCCTTTTGGCTTCCTCCCTATATTTTCTAAATTACTCTTTTCACTCAAATATCAATGTTGTATTTAGAATCATTATTAAAAAAAATAATCTAAGCACAATCCTGGCAGTCCTGTTGGGTTCTGGCTGTGTGCTTTTTGTGTTTCTGAGTGAGCAGGTAACCGAGTCCCTGCTTTCCCCACAGGACTCTGACACCACCATCCCGATCGACGAAACCTTGCAGTTTAATGAATCCCTGCAGAGTGCCCACCGAGGCATGGATGAGCTTATTGGCAGTGGCACCAACATCCTGGCTGGGCTGAGGGACCAGAGAGTCACTTTAAAGGTGGGGGCATCATTTTTTACCACAAAAACCCCACATTTTTCTGTCTTCGTGCTGATCAGGCTAAGTAAAATCAATATATGTGTTGTTTCGGTACATTGCTCCGAGCTGAGGATGCTGGAAAGGCCCAAATTTCATTTAAACAACTTGAAATCTTTACATTTTACCATCCTGTTAGGAATAGCTTTAGGATCTCTTGGGGCTGGCTGGCCTTCACCTGCAGGGCAGCATCTGGAGTGCTGAATGTTTATTTTTTTGGTTGATTGTTGTTTTTTCAGGTTTAGGAGGGACAGTAAACAGGGAGATGTTGGTTCAGATTAGCATCACTCAGAGCAGCCACAAAGCTGCTCTAGAGCACCTGTGATTAAGATTAGTAATAAAGATATTGCACCCCAACAATCCCTCCCTCCCTGCTGAAAACAGCTGCATTTCTGCACATCTCTTCATAGCAAATATTTGCCTTTTATTTTACAGACTGTTCAAAGTGATGGTCAGTTCTGAGTGAAAAACTCAAGGATACAAAAAACTTTTTAATAATAAGTGTGTGAGGAGAAACTGGACTTGTGAAAAATGTAGGGAAATGCCTGTTGTATTCATCTTCTGATGGGGACAACTGCTGTTCTCAGTTTTGTGCTTTATTTTGAGATGTATTTGCCAGATTTAGGTATTTTTAATGCCATAAATGCCAGATTTAGGTATTTTTAATGTCATAAATGCCAGGTTTGGGTATTTTTAATGCCATAAATCCCAGGTTTGGTCAGGTCTGTCACAGCTGCAGCTCCATGGTGTGACCAGTGCAAGCCTGGTCTGCACCTGGGGAGCTGAGCTGGGTTCCAGGCTGCCTGGTTCCAGCCCTGCACAGAACCAGCCCAGCTCCAAATTGGAGCTGCAGCTCCTCCTCTGCTCCCTGCTCTGATGACCAAGCCCTGAACCCACAGATCTTACACAGAGACATTAAAGCAGAGTTTGAAGCTGAGTTCTTTCCAAGATGAGTTTTAACTTCTGGTTCAGGTCACTTGTTCACTGACCTGGTGAGTATGGATTTGTTTTAAGACAAGGTTCATTATTAGAAAAACCTTGAAGAAAATTCAGTGTTCATTGCAGAGGAATGGTGCTGCTGAGCAGTCTGGCCACAGGAGTGGTGGGGAGAGGGAGAGGTTCTGCTGCCAGCTCATGAGGAAAAGGCTGGAAGGATTCATTATTAGTGCCTGGAGAAGATTTGGGTTGTGAATGCTTTTTGAAAAGAGTACTTTTCTTGAAGTCCCTGCATCCCTGAGAGGATTGTAGATATTTGTCCACCCTGTGAAGCTCTGGGCTGCTGCACAGGGAGTTGGAATTGATTCTCCAAGCTGGGAAATCACTGATCCAAGGTAATCTCTCATGAGGGACTGGGAGAAGCACATGAATTCTGGAGGGTTCCTGAGAGAGGAAGGTGCATCCACCACAGGAGAGCTCCCAGGTGCCACAGAGGAGCCCTGGTGCCCTGCAGGGATGAGGAGATCTGTTTCTTGTGGCCTCCTGGCTCTCCTCCAGCCTTTTCTCTGGGCAGGGAATTGCTGTGTGTCTGTCCCTGGCTGCTGGCACACACAGGCTGTGCTTTCAGGGCCATCACATTCCTGAGTGTTCTCCCTTGCAGGTGAGGAAATGTTTGTTCATGTTCCTTTTCCCCTTAACTCAGCTTTTCTTGCACTGACACAGATTTTGTTGCCTGAGAACATCTGGCAGAGCAACTGGTCTAGAGACAGCTTGCAAAGAGAAATGGGTTAATGTGGAATCATGGAACATCCCATGTTGGAAGGACTTCCCAAGGATGATCCAGTCCAACTCCTGGCCCTGCAGACACCCCAACAATCCCACCCCAGCAACCCCACCCTGTGCATCCCTGGGAGTGTTGTCCAAGTGCTCCTGGAGCTCTGGCAGCCACTGCAGGAAGATTCTTTTCCTGATATCCCACCCAACCCTCCCCATGCCCAGCTCCAGCCATTGCCTGGCTCCTGTCCCTGTCCCAGAGCAGAGATTGGAGCTGCAGCCCCACTGAGCTCTGCCCTCAGCTGCTCCTCCTGTGACTCCTCCAAACCTTTCCCCACCCTCATGTCCCTCCTTTGCACACTAATAGCTTTATTCTCTGTAATTTTTGTATATTTGGTATAAATAGACAGGTATGGAATGATTATTCCTAGATTGTCCCTTTAACTGATCCAGTTGTACAATTCCACTGTTCCATGACTGCAAGAATTGAAGAGTTTTCCTTTTCTGTTGTTTTGCTTTCATTTTAAAGTTTCATATTTGGTTTTTGTTCATCCAGCAAGGTTTGGTTTTCTTCTGAAAGGGGTTAATAGGAGCTGTGGGAACTGAAGAAAACTGATTATGTGGGACTAGCAGAGACACAACCCAACTTCAGTGAAGGGCCTGAACTGCCTGGAACACAAGGCACTGCTGCTGTAGTTTGGCATTGCAAATCTCTGTTTTATGCACTGAGAAACTTCTGCATGTGGGTCTGCTCTTACTCCTCCTGAAGGAGTGCATTTTTCTGAGCCACTTTTTATCTTGTCTCAGTCCAGAGAGATTGTTTTGTGTCTTTAACCACATTCCTGTTCATGTGTATGAGTTAATTAGTCCAAACATCCAGTTGTTTTCTGTGGTGTTTGTGAGATCCCCGGGACGAGGTGAGAGATGAGAATCTGACTCCCAAGTTCTCAGAAGGCTGATTTATTATTTTATGATATTATATTAAAGAATATTATACTAAAACTATCCTAAAGAAAGAGAAAGGATACAGAGAGAAGGCTTAACAAAAATTAATAATTAAAACCTGTGACTCTTCAAAACCTCGACACAGGTGGACCATGATTGGTCGTTAAATTCAAACAGTTCACATGCTGGGTAAACAATCTCCAAATCACATTCCAAAGCAGCAAAACAGGGAGAAGCTGAAGCTTCCCAGGAGAAGAAATCCTGGTGAAGGGATTTCTCAGAAAATATCATGGTGACAGTTTCCAGGGTCCCATGGCCACCTCCTGTGGAATGGTAGGGATGGTTGGCTGAGAGAAGTTCAAACCCATCTGTGACAGTGTTCACAGGGGTTTGAGGATGAGGGAAGAGATGAGGATCTGGCTCCATGTTTCAGAAGGTTTGATTTATTATTTTATTATCTATTTTATATTAAAACTGTACTAAAAGAACAGAAGAAAGGATTTCATCAGAAGGCTGGCTAAGAATAGAATAAAAAAGAATGATAACAAAGGCTTGTGGCTCCGAGCCAGCTGACTGTGATTGGCCATTAATTAGAAACAACCACATGAGACCAATCCCAGGTGCATCTGTTGCATTCCACAGCAGCAGATAACCATTGTTTACATTTTGTTCCTGAGGCCTCCCAGCTTCTCAGGAGGAAAAATCCTCAGGAAAAGATTTTTCATAAAAGATGTCTGTGACACCCATCACTCATCCCCCATGATGAAACACTCTTGCACTGTGGAACAAGAAGTCTCAGAGCACGAGGGTGATCGTGTCTTTGCTGTTTTGTTGTCCCCAGGGCACCCACAAGAAGATCCTGGACGTTGCCAACATGCTGGGGCTGTCCAACACGGTGATGCGGCTGATTGAGAAGCGCGCCTTCCAGGACAAGTTCCTCATGCTGGGGGGCATGGCTGTCACCTGCCTCATCATGTTCCTTGTGGTGCAGTACCTGACATGAGCTGCTGGCCTCCTGCATGAGGACTGACTGCCTCCAGAACTGAATTTCCTCTGGGTGCTGCTTTGGATGAGCCCTTCCCGTGGACTTCAGAGTTTATAAATCCCGCTGGGACAGCGTCACGTGGAAGGCACGTGTGGAAATGGATGTGTCAGGAAATGGGACACTGTGCTTGAGAATGGCCCTGTGAAAATAACCCCTGGCCTTTACTGCTCTCCCCTCAAGCCTGCAGGTTAATAGGAAGCAGAAGTGAACGTTGTGCCCAGCTGTAGCAAGGCAGGAATGTCCCTTTGGGCACAGAGGGATGGGAGGATGCAGAGGCACAGCCTAGGATGCTGCCATACTTTCTGACCTGACCCCCTGCATTTTGCAGTGCAAGAATGGCACAGAGAATTTCACAGTGTTGATGGCACTGAGTGTGCAAAAAGAGTTGGGAAGTGAAGGGGTCCCATCTGCTTGGAGCAGGAGGAGGATGTGTGGGGAAGAGTCTTAGAACAGTTATAACCTCAGTAAACTTCACACACAGTATTACCCAGCACACATCTCTCTGGTTTAGGCTGAAATGCTGCTCTGCTCCTCTGAGGGGTGTTCTGGTGCCTCTCTCTGCCCTGCTGCTTCCCAGGGGGTGCTGAGTGCCCCTACTGCTCCCTCCTGCTTCCACTGGGATGCACATCAGGCCTGTGGCATCTCCCTGGGCTTCCTGCCAAATGCAGCCTCTAAAACTGAGATTGTTAATGCTGGAGCACAGAGCTTTGGGGAGCTGTGTTCATTTCCTGAGGTGCAGGTTGGGTTTGGGGCTCTGGAGCTGGAACTTCTGAGTGGATGGAGCAGGTGAGTCCCCCTGTACTCCCTGGAGGTGTAGGGTTGGTCACAGAGCTGGAACAGGTTCTTCACACCAGGGGAATGGTGGGATCAGCACAACAGGCCCTGGCACTGAACATCAGCTTGGTCAGGAGAGTTTCCTCAAGTCTGTGCCTTGGCATGGAGAATCCCCACCTTGGCAAGGGCATTCCTGTGCTGCCCTTTGCACCTGTGGAGTTCCTGTGAGGGACACTCAGCTGTGTCACCTCCTGGGGGTGGTGCTGGCTCACATTCATCCCTTTGGGGTCATTCCCTGTCCCAGTGAAACACTGGAGCTGTGAGATCCTGGCACTGCTTCCCCTGCAGCCTGGGGGTGTCTGGTGGAGGTGGCATTTTGGGATCGTCCATTTCAGTCACCCTGCAGATCCATTCCCATCCCCATGTGTGACAATTCTGGAACATTCCCTGGTGTCTGACAGTGGCACAGATGGGTCATACATAGATGATGCTGGCAATTCCTCCCCTCTTTCCTGTCTGGAATGGTTGTGGGTCTCTGGATTAATAAGTAATCACAAGCTCTACATTCTGCTGACTGCACTGAGCTTTGCTTTTATTATGTGTTGCAAACTGGGAGAAAGGGTTTTAATAAATGAAAAAATGTTAGAATGAATTTTAGGGACTATGGGCCATGGGACAGGGCCATGCTGGTGAGCAGAGCTGGAGTGACCAGTGGCCCCTGTTCATGGGCTTCTCCATGTGTTTGATACTTTCCTGCTATTTCTCCAAGTGTTTCCTGCTCTTGGAGTTCCTCATCTGTCCAGGTTTTCCAAGGAAATACTGCAGCAAAGCAAGCATGGAGCTGATTTTCATTTGAGCCCAAGGAATTAAGGAATTAAAAGGAAAAGAGGGAATCTGCAGTGATGGAGCATCTGCCTGGTTGTGTAACAGAAATCATCATCAACAGAAATCCAAATTTGCATGAAATTTATTTTGGATATGAAATCTGATGGATTCAGCCCTTGAGAGGGCAGCTGAGCACTTGCAGGGGGTCCCTGGGAAATCTCAGTTCTGATGAACTGATGCATCTCCACTGGATTTTAGTGTTGGGGTTTAAGGGTCCCTGGGAAATGTCAGTTCTGATGAACTGATGCATCTCCACTGGATTTTACAGTGTTGGGGTTTAAGGCTGTCACTGTTTGAAGTTTCAGGGTTTGTCTTACACCAAGGTGAGACTCTGGCCAATCTCTCTCCTTCTGGGCTGTGGTAGGAGCCATAAGGTACTTGGAACTGGATTTTTCTTCTGTTTCTGAGCCTAGCTTGCCATTTTAATAGATATTTTCCTGTTGATTTATTTTGCCTCTGGACTCTCCTTGTCCCTGCACAGATTCCCCTTGGTGAGCCAAGTGTCCTTGCTACCCATGACACCCAAAGGTGACACTTGGAGCTTGAAGGAACCACCTGGGGAGCTGGATTTGGGGACATGTGACATCAGAAACGTTTGTGGTGCCTGTAAATCCAAACAGATTTCCAGGGCATCTCAGGTGATTGTGTGAAACCCAAAAACCCCGTGGCAGTGGGACAGGGGTGCTTCCTTCAAGCCCCACATCTCCCCTTTGGCTGCAGGGGGACTGAGCTGGAGCCCTGCTGGGATTGTGGTCCCTGCCAAAGGAAATGAGCTGGAGCTGCAGCCCTGGAGGCTTTGCTGCTGCAGCTTGGTGGTGTTTCCTTCCTCAGCAAACACCTCACTCACTTCTGCTTCCAAACTGGGGCACGAGGTCCAGCTCTGGGGTGAGCTGGTCTCAGGAGGGGACTCTGTAGGAATTCACTTGCCTCTGGAATAAAACTTTTTATTTTACCAGTATTTTATACATAAGGGAACGAGGGTGGGACGTGATTCATGTGATGTTCTGTGAATAAAGATTTTTTTCAACCAAAATAAAGATTTTTTTTTTTTTACCTTATTTTTTACCTTAACCAACATGTTGGGGCCAAAATAAACAAGCAGGTTCACTGAATCCTGGTTCACTGTGGATAGAAGAGGGGGCCATGGGGGTGCTGTGGGGGGCTCCCCTTTGGGTCAGTAGGAAATGATCCCACTGCACTGGGGCTGGAAGGAGCAGGAGCCTGTGCTGGGTGTGAAAAAGGCAATCACTTGTTTTTAAAATTTTAGAAGTTTAATAGTAATAAAATGGTTATAAAAATAGTAATACAATTAGAGTGATAATCATTTAGACAATTTGAATTAGGACAATATGAGACAACAGAACCAAAGAGTTAGGGACAGTCCAGGTACGTTTTTTGGGCAAAATAAGCCCAAAAAAGAACCCATGTTAACAGAGGATTAACCCTTAAAAGCAACAGCCTGTTGCATATTCATACACCTCATACATGATGCATAAATTCCATTCAAACACAGGATTCTGTCTGGGCAGTGTCAGCTTCTTCCTCTGAATCCTAAGAAGAAGTTTTCTGATAAGAGGGCAATAAATTCTTTTTCTCTGAAAGATTCAGGTGTCCTGTGGCTGCTATCTCAGTGTGAGTCCTTTTTTTAAAAAAAGTATCCTACATAGCATAGTTCCTATTTTAACATTTTCTTAAATAACCTAAAACTATATTTAACGCACTATTAAGAGAATTAATACACCATCACTTTCTAGCACAACACATATAATATTCATTTTAATATTTGCAAAAAGCCAATCATAAAATACACATTTTTCACACTAGGCCTCACTGGTCAGACTGGGGGGATGTGCAGGTGGGACAGCCCCAGAGCTGGTGGTGAAAGAGCTGGAAATGGGTGGGTGATGTCCTTTCTACCTGCAGTGATGTGGTGAGGGGGTTCTAATTAGGGGAAGTGAAGGAAGAGCTTGGAGAGCAAAATGTGGCTGTTGATAAAGAGATTGTGGATTTAAAATGTGAGATCAAGGGGCTGGATCATTTCCCACTTGCTCTTCAGTTCTGTTTTGAAGTAATTCCAATCCCCACAGCTACAAAACACTTATTAAATCAGAAAATACCAGCAAAGAATGCAGAAAGCTGTCAGTGCTGTATGTGTGAGCTTGATGCAGAGGGATGGGATGGGGCTGCACTGGGTCCTGTCAGGGTGGGCCCTGAGGGGCTTTGATGCCCTGAGCAGCAGCTGGAAATGGGACTGAAGCTCCAGGAGTGTGTGAGAGTGGCACTGGGCATGTGGAATAAATCCAGGGAAGGTTTTATGCCCTGGTTTCACCTGGGATTGAGTTAATTTCCTCCCCAGCAGCTGTTCCCAGGGCTGTGTTTGGGATTCAGTATGGGAGTAATGTTGATAACACAGTAATGTTGATAACACAGCAATGGTTTAAATTAAGGATTTTTCAGTTTCCCAGGCTCTGCCAGTGAGCAGAGGCTCAAGAATCTGGCATAGAGCAGGGCCAGGACAGGTGACCTGAACTGGCCAGAGAGATATTCCACACCACAGAGAGTCATTCTGAGTGTATAAAAACTGGGAATGGTGGGCTGGGAGGGGTCAGAGGGTCCTGAACAACTGTACTGGCGCCAGCACTTGTCTCTCTGGGGTTTTATGTCTCCCCATCTCATTATTTTTTTTTTTATTATTAATTATATCTAACTTTTTTCAATTATTAAACTGTTCTTAGCCTCGAGTTTTACTTTCTCCCCCCCAGTTCCCCATCTCCTTGTGGAGGGCAGTGAGCTGAGATGTTTAGTTGCTGGCTGGGGTTAAATCTGAGAGGGAAATGTTTTTAAAAAAACGAAACCAGTGAGTATTTGAGCACTTAAAACCAGTGAAATGAGGGTAAGGTATGTGTAGAATAGAGGGGGAGATAATAAGTGATAAGAGATGATGATTGGGTGGGACAGAATTAATTTAGAAGGAAGATAATGTAAGTAACTACCAGAGGATGTTTCTACTTGGCCCAAAGCCTGCTCTGTGTCTGCCTCTCCCTGTTCACTCTTCCCCAGGTTAACCCTGGAATGTCTGAGCTCAAGGAGATGTGTTAAAAATCAACCTCCTCTAGAAGCCCATGGTGACACTGCCCAGGGCTGGAATTCTCAGCTGGAGGAGGAAAATATCTGTTCCCAGGCCATAAAGGTGAAGGTGTTGTGGGTAAAGGGAAAAGCTCTGTCAGCTCCCTGCTCCTGCCTCACTTTCTCTCCATGAGGTCTGTGGGGGATGAGCCCTGCACCCCAGGGGAATTCTGGAATGGAGTTTGCTGGCATGGAGATTCCCCAGTCCCAGGGAATCCTGGCATGGAGATTTCTGGCATGGAGATGCCCCAGTCCCAGGGAATCCTGGCATGGAGATTACATAGTCCAGGGGAATCTTGGCATGGAGATTTTCCAATCCCAGGGGAATTCTGGCATGGAGTTCCCTGGCATGGAGATTGCCCAGTCCAGGGCAATCCTGGCATGGAGATCTCCCAGTCCCAAGGAATTCTGCCATGGAGATTCTCCAGTCCAGTGCAATCCTGGCATGGAGATTCTGCAGTCCCAGGGAATCCTGGTATGGAATTCCCTAGCATGGAGATTCTGCAATCCCAAGGTATCTTGGCATGGAGTTCTCTGGCATGGAGATTTCCCAATCCCAGGGAATCCTGGCATGGAGATTTATGGCATGGAGATTGCCCAGTCCCAAGGAATCCTGGCATGGATTTTCCCTCTTTCCCCCCAGCATTTTTGGGCTCCTGTTCCACCCCTCTTGGAAATCTTTGTGCCTTGGCTTAGGGAGGGGAAGGGCCAAGAGAAAGGAAGGGGAATCAGAGTCCTATCAACGTTCTGGAAAGGGGCAGCAGAAATTAAAGCCCAGCAGGACTGGAAATTATCCTGGAGCTGCAAATACAGGGCAGGAATATTGCCAGAGCCCTTGGCTGTGCTGGACACAGCAAAAGGGATTGGCTGCCTTGGGTCATTATGGGGTGTCTGCAATGGGTGTGTAGGGATGGGGTCAGGAAAGCCAAGGCACAGATGGAACAGGACATGGCAAGGACAGAGGTCAGCACAGAATGGCCAAGGAGAGGGCACTGTCACAGACATATTTTATCAAAAATCCTTTTGCTAGGATTTTTTTCTCCTGAGA